TGGAGTTAGTAGAGGATTGCCACTTTCAATGTCCAGTTGGCAGTCACCCTGAAAGTTGTGGTTGTTATTATGTGTTTTATATATGTGTTGTCTAAGAACTATTGACAGAATATGGGTGGGTTTACTTACTGCCAAAGATGTAACGAAGAACCACCTTTTGAATTTCCCTTTTTTTGCTTCATTCCTGTTCATTAGATCTCCATACCAGTCGATGACATCAGATGTGATTTCACAACGAATGTCAATCGACTATACTGACTCCCTTTTCAGCAAGAATGTTCCATCCTTCCTTCTAAACATTATCTCGTTACTGTATAAAAGCACATCACAACAGGACAGATGGTTTACTTTAATTTATCACATTAAACAATAGGTTACCACAACAAACCATATCTTACCACATCTTACCATATGGTAATAAACTAAAACACAATAGGAGTTACAGTTTAATCCATTCTTTAACAACAAACCATAGCTTACCACATCATACCATATGGTATTAAACTAAAACAAAACAGGACTTGTGCATTACTACATTTTGTAACATTAAACCATAGATTATATAATCTTAACATAGCTTACCATATCTTACCATATGGTATTAAACCAAAAACAAAACTGGAATTGTGGATTACTACATTTTGTATGATTAAACCATAGATTTATCTAATTTTACCATATCTTACCATATTTTATCATATGGTAACAAATTAGATCACTACAGTAACATCATATAACAGTAGAAGTTTTAAGATGATGACTTACCTCTTGACAAATTTCTTGTTCTTGCATCTTATGTACTCCAGGATGTTGCTGAACATATCATCAGGTATTGTTTGTGTTGGTGTTGACCATTCAACTTGTGATCTTTGTGATTGTGGAGCAACTGGATCAACAGTTGGAGTATTCAGGTCCTCTAGGTAAGCATCTATGCATTCACGCACTTCCTTGAGCTTCTCTTGGCTGTTTGTGTGCAGATTTGACCATATAGCATATGACTCCTTCTGTGACTGGGTGCTTTGTGGCTGTGTTGGTGGTGGTGTTCTTCTTGCCTTCTTTTCATATACATTCAAATTCTTCACCACAATTCTTCTTTTGCGAGGCTCTCCTGGTTGATTGGTTGCCGTAGTGGTAGTCAACTTTGTTGGTGTTGTTGGTGTTTGATCTTTGAGAGGGCTGAGATCGAAGGATGGAATGTCATCTTCCCTTGTCATTTTAGGCTTGTCAGCAGTTTTGGTTGTCAATTTTGGAGTCTCTTCTCGAACAACATCATCTGACACCGTTTTCTCGCTGTCAGTTTCTGTAGTCTTTTGTGCAGCTTGCCCTGTATTCCCTTCTTCTGTTGTTTCCTTATCAACATCCATTGGATTTGCTGTTTTTGTAGCTCCTTTTTCTTCTGTTTCTTTTGCAGATGTCTGTTCTGGAACTGCTTTCGGGGTGTTCTCTTGTTGTGGTGTTCCCTGATTCAGATCTTCTTGAACAGCTGGTGGTTCTGTTGCAACTTTCCCCAGTGGATCTCCTTCTTGGATGCTTTCCTTATTCACAGCTCCTGGAGAATAATCATCTTGTTCCTTCGATGTATCTTTGCCTGTTTGAATATTTCATTGATTGTTTTATCCAAACTGGCATTCATTTCTTCATCATTCTCTTCTTCATCATCTTCACACTGAGATTTTTCTCCTTCTGTGGGCTGAACATATTCATCACAGCTTTCTTTCTCAAGATTCTCCGTGTGTCTGATCAGATTCTCAATTTGGCTGTTGTACTGGTCTTTGATTGCTTTCATCATTGCCTTCATTGATGCTTCAAGCAGTTTGATTGCATTCTCAGCCTGCATAATGGGAGTTTTGTAAGATACCATGGTGGTAATGTGTTTATGGTGTATGGTTAGTTACCATGGTGGTAATACATGGTATTGGCAATTATTATCACTATTCTCCATTTTTATAACATGAAACCATATCTTACCACATGGTAACAAAGTAAAACAGAACAAGAATTATGGTTTCCTCCATTTTTATAACATGAAACCATAGCTTACCACACCTTACCATATGGTAACGAAGTAAAACACAACAGGACTTATGTTTTCCTCGATTTTTATAACCTGAAATTATAGCTTACCACTCCTTACCATATGGTAACAAACTAAAACACAACAGGACTTATGGTTTCCTCCATTTTTATAATATGAAACCATAGCTTACCACACCTTACCATATGGTAACCAACTAAAACACAGAAGGAATTACGTTTAGCATGTATTTGGACAACTGTAATATAGATAATTTGTACTTACTTGGTTGACTGTTCTGATATTCTTCAAATCAAAGTTCAGTGATGATGACTGGTCTGGAGTTTTGTTTCTTTGTCTTTTCGGTGACTGATAGACTGGCTCATTCTCCTCTTCCTCATCAGTTGCATCATCAGCCTCATCATCATTAATGTTGGCAACCTTTTCGATCTCGGTCAACTCTTTTCCATTGTAGTAGCTCTTAATGTTCTCAAAGTTTGTTTCGACATTGAGATCATCATAGTAGCTTACTGTTGGTGTTCGAAGCTGGGTTGAGAATGCCATTTCGTCCAGTTTGTACATGAAGCATACCTTTTTTATGCAGATAGTTGTATTAGTTTTTTCAAAGTTTATCATTTATATGTAAAATATATGAGTAACAAGGTTGAAATGGCCAAGGGAATGGAGACTTACTGTAAGGAAGTGAAGATCTGCACTGACATAGAGTTTTGATGATTTCAATCCTTCATTCATGTGTTTGAAGAAGTATTTGCACCAGTTGTAGCAGGTGAAATGTTTCAGTTCTTCAGTCTTCAAGTACTCAAGCATGTTGAGTTCAGCCATAGGTGCTGAAGTTGGACACAGCAAGCCTCCGGTGACCAGCAGAAAGAACAATTGTATCCATCTCTTACTGTTTGTGGTTGTAGGAAGATCTTTTTCTACCTGACTTAGCTTTACCCTTGGAGTGGATGTTCCATCTACTTCGAGTAGGGTTTCTACTGCATAATCTGCTGCGTCATCCCAAGAAATCATGGGAGGTACAACTTCCCTATTCCCCATCGGCAGACCATATACTCTATGAAAGTCAATTGGTGATATCTTCATGCGTGTCCCGTCAGGTAGCTTGAACGATTCTTTCATTGGATTGTATTTGTTCATTACGAACATAGCAAAATGATTGTTTATCTTTGTCTGCCTGATTGATATTAAGCCTGCTAGGCCTAATATCTCAAGTTGCGCTTTCCGCTCATCTGTTATTGACCTTGCAATTGCAGATATTCTTGTTGGGCTGCACCTTGTGCGAAAACTTTGTCTTGGTTTTACCATAGTGTACTTGAATGTAGAAATTAGTAATAGTCTGTTAGTATGCTTTTTACCATAATATACCATATGGTACCATAATGGTTTTCTACCATACCTAATCAAACCATATATTTATCACATTTTACCATATGGTAATTACATGAAACCATGTCTTATAAGATCTTACCATATGGTAACGAAGTAAAACACAACAGGACTTATGTTTTCCTCCATTTTTACAACATGAAACCATAGCTTACCACACATTACCATATGGTAACAAACTAAAACACAGAAGGACTTATGGTTTTTTGCTATTTTACAACATGAAACCATAGCTTACCACACATTACCATATGGTAACGAACTAAAACACAGAAGGACTTAGGTTTTTTTTGCTATTTTACAACATGAAACCATAGCTTACCACACATTACCATATGGTAACGAACTAAAACACAGAAGGACTTATGGTTTTTTGCTATTTTACAACATGAAACCATAGCTTACCACACATTACCATATGGTAACGAACTAAAACACAGGAGGACTTATGGTTTTTTGCTATTTTACAACATGAAACCATAGCTTACCACACATTACCATATGGTAACAAACTAAAACACAGAAGGACTTATGGTTTTTTGCTATTTTACAACATGAAACCATAGCTTACCACACATTACCATATGGTAACAAACTAAAACACAGAAGAACTTATGGTTTTTTGCTATTTTACAACATGAAACTATAGCTTACTACACATTACCATATGGTAACAAACTAAAACACAGAAGGAGTTACGGTTTCTTGCCTTTTTATAACATGCAATCATAGCTTACCACGCCATACCATGTGGTAACGAAGCAAAACACAACAGATTCTACACCAGTTCAGCAACGCATGCTAACGATTCGGTAATGTAGCGAGTTTTACTACAATTTTCACATGAAGAGTGACTGAAATACTGTTTATATTGTTCTATGGATGGATTTCGAAGAAAGAAGTGAGGTTTTACCTTAATATTTTGTGCGAAATCGATTTTTGAGCCTCGTTGAAGTTGGAAACCCTTCGTTTTTCAACGAAGAAGCGAGAACAGTGAATCGTTGAATGATTATTCGAAAACCTTTGCGAAAATCGTTGAATGATTCTGTGTTTTCTGAAGTTTTTGGTGCGCGATTGGATGAAGAATGGAGAGTTAGAGAGCAGAGGGAAGTGGAACAGTCGCGTGAAAGGTGAGAGAAAGAAGGAAAGAAGGCGGGCACGGTTTAATGTCACGTCTCCTTTTCAAATTGTCAGATCGAAGATTACTATTTTGCCCCCCCCCCCCCCCCCCCCCCCCCCCGTGTAGTTACTTTTGCTTGATCTGACGGTTGAAAAGCGGATGGAATGGACGGTTGATAGGGCGGTTACTGATGGTTACTGATATATTGGTTACTGAGGGGATCCGGACCCGCTAGGCGCTAAGTCGAAGGACGCCTCTTTCCCTTCACTTGTTGATGAGACAGGTGGCAATGTGTCAAAAGGTCCATAGCGTCAAACTAAGTTCGAATCCCTGTTCCATCCTTCAACTTCATCTTCTCTGTTACAAGTTACAACCCATTGTTTATTTGCATAGCAACTAAGAGAAATTTTACAATGCTATATAGTATTGGTGCTATAGGATTTTGCCTTTATGGTACAACTAAAAATTGTACGTTTATGTTATGGTACAACTTCAGATTGTACCTATACTTTTTGTACAAATTTTTTTATGGTACAACTTGAACTTGTACCTTTATGTGATGGTACAATTTCAAGTTGTAAAGTTGTACCATAACATAATGGTACAAATTGCTTTATGGTACAACCTAAAATTATACATTTAATGTTATGGTACAACTTTAAGTTGTACATTAAAGCACCAATACTATATAGCATAGTAAAAGTGCTCACTAACTAATGAATGCAGATAGATAAGTTTTTAGTTTTGTACTATTAACGAAAGATATCATAAACTAACCTTCAAGTAATGGTACGCAAAAAGAGATCAGGACATTGTGTGACTTGTGACTTGTGAGGTAGGATTTGGTTGGGTACATAAGTAAAGCATTTATTACGACTGACTTATATATAGTCTCATTGCTATCTCTCTAGGTTTAATTCAAATATGGCTCCCCCTTCTATCTAACTCAAGTTCTCTTCTTTCATTTTCAGGGGCTTTCTCGGGGTCTTTTTGTTTTTTCAATCTTTCCATGCTCATGCTCCTCTTTCATGTTCTATACGTTTTTCCCTCGAACTTTTCAATCTTGCTCCCTTCTTCAACCGACGTAACCTATTTTCTTTTTTCTCTCCAATTGAATTGTTGCTCTTCGTTCGGTTTTGGGCTTGTTCATCTTGGGATCTAGAGTTAGCAACTTAGGATCATTGTTTCGATCTGTGGCGCGATTGGATTTCCCCTTCTAGTGGTTCATCATTTTTGGTGAAGTCATTCTCTGCTTTTCCTTTCCGACTTCCTCTGGCCTGCTACTTAGTAGGTCGTCAGAACATGTAGGGTAGAGTTCTCTGTATAGGTGTGGCGGTTGCTCAATGTATTCCACGAAATTTGATGGCTCGGTTCAGACCTTCTGCTCTCTTGGACCCAATCTCTCTGCCTCAACTCCCTCTGCCTCTTCAGCTCGAAGCAATTCGTTTCACATCCTTGTCCACCGCCATGTTATCTCGATTCCAAGGTTCACTGTGATGGATGTCTTTGAGCAATCATCAGGATGCACCATATGGCGCTGTTGTGCTCAATCGCCATGGACTTCGTTGTGATAGCTCCCAGCTGATTCTGATCTTGTTACTCTGATTGGTTTAAAATCGGGAGGGATTCTATGTATTTCGTGTTTGGGTCAAGTGCTCAGCTCCTTTGATGGTGAATATTACTCAATGTTTTGTTGTTTTTTGTATATCTCCAGCATGATTTGTTATCAACCGATTGCTCTAGGGCGCCTGTTTCTTGTTCCTCAAGCATGGTTTGTAATCAACCGATTGCTCTAGCACGCCTATGTATTGTGTTTGGATCCAGAATATTCTAAAGTTAGTACCTCTTTGTAAAGCAAAGGTACCCAAAAATCGGCTTGCAATGGATATAAAGGTTCGCAAATTAGTTCTGAGTCGGCCAATTTTAAAGAGAGTTTCAAGTTTGTTCCACGAGACGGCAGATGAAAGAAATTAACTCGATCCAGGCTTTGCATGAACTGAACAAACGAAGGGGATAAGAAATCAGATAACCGTTTTACGCTCATTGAGCAAGAATACGGTAAAGTAAACTTCGCGGAAATAACAAGGATATTAGACATATAATCCAAATAAATCGAAACTGCAAAATAACAAAACATAGGATACGCTCCACTTGATTAAACCGCAAATATAAAAGCAACCACAGACAGAGATAATGCCATCAATGCCGCTAAAATGTCTGGGCAAAACCACCACAACAGAAAACCACACATCACAGATTCAGTCTGAACAACCACCATCAACAATCACACATAACAAGACAGCACAATAGCAGCAAATTGCCATGTTCCTTCCTTTCTCAGTACTCATCTCCTTCATCCTCGCCATCCTCAGGAGCCTCGGCACCGACCTCCTCGTAATCCTTCTCCAGGGCCGCCAGATCCTCACGAGCCTCAGAGAACTCACCCTCCTCCATACCTTCACCCACGTACCAGTGAACGAAGGCCCTCTTGGCGTACATCAGATCAAACTTGTGGTCGATACGGCCGAACACCTCAGCAACACTGGTGGAGTTGGAGATCATGCACACAGCCCTCTGCACCTTGGCCAAGTCACCTCCAGGGACAACAGTCGGCGGCTGGTAGTTGATACCGCACTTGAACCCGGTAGGGCACCAGTCAACAAACTGGATGGTGCGCTTGGTCTTGATGGTCGCCACAGCAGCGTTCACATCCTTGGGGACGACATCACCACGGTACATAAGGCAGCAGGCCATGTACTTCCCGTGGCGTGGGTCGCACTTGGCCATCATGGATGAAGGCTCGAAGGCACTGTTGGTGATCTCGGCAACGGAGAGCTGCTCATGGTATGCCTTCTCGGCAGAGATGACTGGTGCATAGGAGGAAAGCATGAAGTGGATCCTCGGGTATGGGACCAAGTTGGTCTGGAACTCGGTCACGTCCACGTTGAGAGCTCCATCAAACCTCAGAGAGGCAGTGAGGGATGAGATAACCTGATGATGAAGATCAGAAGCGAAATCAGATAAAACCCAACTTTGAAAAATAAAATCACAACGAAGTAGATTAAACAGATTGATTATTCAAGTGGGTTACCTGAGAGATGAGGCGATTCAGATTCTGGTAAGTCGGGCGCTCAATGTCAAGGGAGCGCCTGCAGATATCATAGATGGCTTCGTTGTCAAGAAGAACAGCAACATCAGTGTGCTCAAGGAGGGAGTGAGTTGAGAGGACACTGTTGTAGGGCTCCACGACAGAGGTAGACACTTGAGGAGATGGGTAAACAGTGAATCCGAGCTTGGACTTCTTTCCGTAGTCAACAGAGAGACGCTCCAAAAGGAGAGATCCGAGACCGGATCCAGTACCTCCACCGACGGCATTGAAGACCAGGAAACCTTGGAGTCCAGTGCAGTTGTCAGCCAGCTTCCTGATGCGGTCCAGGCACAGGTCAACGATCTCCTTGCCAACTGCAAACACGTATGGAATGGAGAAATCAATCAGTAAAGTACATTCGATGAAAATTGATAGGGAATAAAGGAAGATAGAAGACAGATCTGAGAATTTACTTGTGTAGTGGCCACGAGCGAAGTTGTTGGCGGCGTCTTCCTTGCCGCTAATGAGCTGCTCGGGGTGGAAGAGCTGGCGGTAGCTTCCAGTCCTCACCTCATCGATGACGGTGGGCTCAAGATCGACGAACACAGCGCGAGGAACGTGCTTCCCTGCACCAGTTTCGCTGAAAAAGGTGTTGAAGGCATCGTCTCCTCCGCCGACGGTTTTGTCGCTCGGCATCTGGCCATCTGGCTGCAAAAAAAAGCGCAAAAGTAGAACAAATTCAGAATTCAAATCCCATACACCATAGCTAGAGAGCTCCTCACCGCCTATTCAATATAGATCTAGCCTAGAACTCAGATCTAGCGTTCATAACTACAATTGCAGATCGAAACCTAATCTGAAAGGTAAACAAAACAGAGCCTCTACAATGCAAGATTGATACGAGAAATGTTGAAAACGCATCGATTCATTCGAGTCCAGGGGGGAAACAATAGATTACGCAAGATTCCAACCAATCGGATAGATTTTGAAAACGGAGATCCAGATCTAACGAATGCAGAAGCAACACGAGCAGAAGACGAATCGCCATTGCAGCTAAATCTAAGAAATGAAGAGGAACGACTGAGATCTGGAGAAGGAGGGTTACCTGAATGCCATGCTCAAGGCAATAGAGCTCCCAGCAAGCGTTTCCGACCTGGATACCGGCTTGACCGATGTGGATGGAGATGCACTCTCTCATTTTGGTAGGGTTACGGAAGCAAGAATCTGGAAGAAGGGAATTGGAGGCGAAGAGCTAGAACGACGAAAGGGAGAACAGGAGAAGGGCGTTTATCAAGACGCCTTTCGTTCCTCTTTGGAGATGGGGAAGAAAGGGTTTCCGAAAATCAGGTTGTTATATAGAGAGGCGGGGAGCCAGAAATGGTTACTCTCTCTAACCCAAGGTAACCACTGTTTAAAGCGTAATTGCCATTTTGCCAGCCAGCGGCGGATCAGGTTTAGGGGTTTTCACGTTTCCGGCTCATCTAACTCCAGGCTGGCTTGTTCCAACTAACCGTTATTATTAACCATAGTTAGTTTCGGGGTTCGCTCTCGTCAGGCGTCAGCCCCGCTCAGAATTCAAATTTTGATTTTTGATTTTGGGTTCTGAAATGGGCTTGGATTGGGGGGAAATTGGAACGAATGCCGCTGCCCACTGTGAGGGTTAGAGGGAGGCTAATTAGTGGTGGAACCAGGAGTCGAAAGTATATGTGTCCTCTTTCTAAAATATAAAAAGTATTAAATATAATTAAAAACAATAATACTCAAATATATCATTCATATATAATAACGAAATAACCAATCAATACAATCACTATTTTCATAAACAAGCACGATACATTTTCATATTTTGAGTTAAATTAAATTTATGTTGATGGACCCGGCATTCACCTGCTTCACCTGTCCGTTGAAATAAAGTATTTTACTCTAATTATTATTAAATAATTAATATATTATATCTTATTATATTATATAAGAATATGATTAATATTACTATATAATTATTGTTTGTTTATCTTATTTTCCTTCACTTTCCTTTACTTTCATACACTTTCATGCACTTTCCTGCACATTCATACACATTCCTATACTTTCATACACATTCCTACACTTTCTCCTTCATTTTCTTACATATTCATTTACTTACGTACATATTCATGCATATACGTAAATGTTTCTCGTTTACATTACCCATGCTCATTTATTTTCCCCTATATACTTATACTTTCTCATACTTTCGCATACACACTTGGATATTCTCATATACCATGATTATTGAGAAATGTTGGTGAATGTTAACGTAAGTCGAGGAATTCAACTACGATTTCTCCCTATAAATAGGAAGCACCCATTCCCCTTTCAGAAGAACACAAGACACACACAACAGAAGTCCCTCCACACACCACAACTTACACACTCTCTCTACTTTCTCTCTCTAAAAACGTTTTCTCTCTCCTCCCAATCTCCCAAAAACGTGTTAAACCTCTAAACACTCAACACACCCTCAATTTGGCGGACTAAGCCATGGAATCGTGGATAGTCTCCACCGGGCGGCATTAAATAGCCGACGACGCTCAATTACGACCGTGGGACCGAACCAGGTCTAACGTCATCGTATTTATTTTATTCCATTCAGATTACTAATTTGAGCGTCGGAGGAGGTTCCAACCAGGACCCCCCCCCCCCCGGTGGGACCTTTTTTTCTAGGTATTCGCACGGAGCTGGAGGTGGTTAAAGGCTTTGGGAAATCAGCGCTCTCCGGACCTTAAACATATTGAAGCAGGCTGCTCTAAGCTTGGCATCAACATATGTATACCTTTAAACAAGAAGTGTATTGTAATTTAGTGGTATAACACTCTTATATTACCTAGATATCATGAATTCAATACTTAGTTTATACATATATGGGGTACTTTTTTTGTTACCCTAAAAATTACTTGTGTCCCGTCCCATGACCCTTGGCTCCGCCTATGAGGGTAATGGTGACTTTCGCGGTCTGTCGTTTGTCTTGTAATGTTGTATAATATTTAGGGTGATGTCTATTTATTGACTAATTTTTTTGGATTATTTTATTTTAATCAAATCTATTGAAATACTATTTATTAATAAAATGTATTGTAATTAAGGTTGTTAATTTGATTTGGCTCGTCGGTCCGATCGGACAAGTGGGTTGAGGGTTCATGTGCTGATCGGATTAGCCAGGATTAACCCGAATATGTACGAAAAGATGTGGAAAAGCCCTAGTTTGTGCTATATTTTTAGAAAACCATTCAAATATTGAAAAAAAATGGTTAAGCTAACAATACCCTTTAAATTATGGTTCAACCAATTTTATACTTTTTTAAATATATACGAGTAGTATTTAACAATTTATCGATTTTGCATGTATCCTTTAGTAAATTTTACAAAATATATAAAGACAAAAAATGGATTCAAATTTCTCCATTTTGAAAATGTTGCTCTGTGAGTAATTCCCGGAAAGGTATTATGGAAACTTCACCTACATTAAATGATTCTTTGTGTTTTATCAACAAACCCGACTTTTCAGCAGTTTTCCGGTAGAAATCCCAAACTCCGCTTCCAGACTCTGGTCCGCGTGAGCAGCAGCTCCCAATTGGGCCTAATATTTGCTCTTCGTGTAGTTTTGCTTGATGGAGCCCAATTCTCATCTTTGTGCCACATTAGTATCAAATGTATGGCAATGGCCTGATATTGGAGTTAGTATTTATTAGTGGTTCTCACACTCTTCTTCCAAGTGCAAGTGGTGAAGTTCCAAGCTCATCTTTTACCCCACTCTCCATTATACAACCTTTGTGTTTAGTTATTGTTCGCTAGCTTTTATTATATGGGTTTTTTGCACAAAACATCGCCTTTATGTTTTGTTATTGTTCGCTAGGTTTTCGTCTATGACTTTTTGCATAAATCATCCCCTTTGTGTTTAGTTATTGTTTGATAGATTTCCGTCTAACGCTTTTTGCACAAATCATTGCCTTTGTGTTTAGTTATTGTTCGATAGGTTTTTGTCTATGGCTTTTTTTACAAATAATCGCCTTTGCCCACCATTTTGCAACCCATCTCGAAATACTGTCGGCGAAATCCTAAGTTGTTCCCCACTGCCTTTTCACAAGGCTGCTACCACGAGTTTTGTATCGGGATCGAGTTCCATCCTCTTTACAGACCGTTTGGTACCAAATGAATCGAGAATTCATTTCATTTTAAAATAATTACTGTGTAGAATTCATTGTCAAATGAATTTCTGTGTTTGGTATGTCATATGTAAATCTTTGGAAGCAATGTAATCAAAAGTGCGTTTCTGCGTAGAAACGTTTCGGTGATCTAGAAACGTAAAATCGTAAGTTTTTAAGTTTTAAAGCCAAGTTTTTAACTACATAAGTTATAAAAACTAAGATTTTGTGTATAAACGTTTTAGTAACCTAGAAACGTAAAATCGTAAGTTTTTAAGTTTTAAAGCGCGACATTGTTTGGAAGTAAAAGAATTGAATCCGCAAACCATGTTTGGCATAGGTTTAGAATTGAATGAAATTACAAGTTTCGCCAACTACAGCCTTATTAATTTCCGGGAAAAACAATATTCATTGAAAATCTATCATCTAAAAAATTTCTTTGGTCTTATTCGTAGAATATCAAAAGTGTGGCTTGTGTGTTTCTATTCTATTCATTAGTTCTTTTCTAATATTTTTTTAATGAACCCTACAATCTAGTTGTGCCTTCTTAACGTAATGATACAATCGAAGCATAAATATAAAATAACCAGCAAATACTCTAGCGTTGCAATCAAATTCTTGGTGACGTTCCTCACACTGCATCAATTGGCGGCAAATAATATATGTGGAAGTAATTTAGTTAATAAATGAGGATAATTATGTCATTCTATTATAATTAGTAAATACTTGTGGAATTCATTTGCAAATTCCATCTCAATTCCTCGGAATTGCTATAACTCGTTCAAATTTTGTAGAATTCAAAATTTAGAATTGAAGAAGAATCTTTTAAATAACAAACACAAAATAATTTCATTTCAAAATGAATTCCTCAAAACTTGTGGAATTCATTTATACCAAACGGTATGTTAGTGTTTTTTTTTCTTTCTTTTTGTTGAGCATGATCACAATTGAACCCAAACACATGAGTATCCTAACTTGAACATAAAATCATCGCCTTTGTCCACCATTCTGCAGCCCATCTCGAAATATTGCCGGTGGAATTCTAAGTTGTTCCCCATCATCGTTTTCCAAGGTCGCTACCACGAGTTTGGTATCGGGACCGAGTTTCATCCTTTTTAGTGTTTTTTTCTTTCACTTTTTCCTTTTTGTTAAGCATGATCACAATTGAACCCAATGCCGCCACCGAAAATTCATACCATATCTACTCGATGTTGGCGAGTTTTGTATCGGGACCGAGTTTCGTTCGTTTTAGTGTTTTTTCCTTCACTTTTCCTTTTTGTTGGGGTCATGAGCGAGTTTTATCCGCTTTAGTATTTTTTTTAATCCTTTTCCTTTTGGTTGAGAATGGCAATTGAGTCCAAATGCATGGTATACAACCTAATTCGACCTGACCAAAGCGATTTGAACCCGATTTTACTGGTTTTCGGTGGGAGCGAGTTTTTCCTGTTTTTGTAATTGACGTGTTGTGTCAGGTGTGACTTTGTCAAAAACTAGGTCCAACTAGGTCAAGGAGAGTTGAACCTGGTGTTGATGAGTTTTGATTTGGTAGCGAGTTTAGCTTTAGTGTTTTTCATTTTGCTTTTTTCATTTGTTTGAGATAGACAATTGAACCCAAATCCATGGGTATCCAACCTAATTTGAAAAGATTAAGAGAAGTTGTTTCATTATGCAAAAGTTATAGCAGGATCAACTACTAGCCATACAAATTGAAACATTAGCGTCATGAAAGAAGTTTAAACATAAATAATCTATTCGACGACCCTTCTACCTTATGCAAGTTCATCGACCATATGCTATTGTAAATAACAAATCTATGAAAAGAATGATTAAGAATGAAATAAGAGTACTTTCACTTTTGCGTCAACATTAAAACTATTACTCTTTAAAACATTTATTTTTCTGATATGTGAATCGATAGCGAGCGGAATTTTTCTAGTTAGTATCAAATGTTATGACAATGGCATGTGAAAATATATTCTTTTGCGCTTATAATTATAATTGATTAATTGATTTTTTAAATCAAGTTAAAGGTATATCAACATAGTGCTATTGTTACTAGGAATACTCAAATTTAAAGTATATCATATATAAAATATATTGAACAATAGGGCGTTGTTGACATTAGGTGCATTGATAATTACTATGTCATATATAAAGTATATCATAAGGACCATAAATTTTTAATATATGGTTGTCACATAATTATCGATCTTACTAATTAATGCGTTCTTTTTGTGCAATATTTTTTTTTAATTCTAAGTTAAAACAAAGGGTAAATGTCACACTTGGTCACTGAGATTACTAAATTGTGTCATGATTAGTCACTAGAAAATTTTAATATCAATTTTGGTCACTCGAATTACTGGAACATGTCACATTTAGTCATTGTGTCGTTAGTTTGGTCGCTCTTCTTCCCTCCGTCTTTACAGGAAATATCTGCCAGCTGGGAGCGACAGAGAGAAATGGAGGAGATGATGGTCGCAATGGCCAGAAATTGCTGGAGAAAATTGGAAATCAATTTTTGAGGTTTAATTAAAAAGTAACATCTTTTGGTTTGAGAATCCGAGAATGGAAGAAGCTCGTTGTATATACAAGATATACAAAGGCAAAACATGAGTTCAATTTTCTCCTTTTTGAATTTTCTGCGCTGAGATTGATTTACGGAGGGGTATGTACGTAATTTCCTACCGACTAACTGAAGCTCTGCGTTTCGTTCCCATACTTATTCTTTCTGTTGGAAGCGTCCGATGGGCTGTGTAATCCTCTTTTTGGGCCGGCATTGGACCCCTTCACCTAAACACTCCATCATCCAGTCACCACCAGGGGCGGAGACCAGACGCAAAGGCATCTGTGCTCAACGACTCTGCTCGCCTGGTCGTCACTCTTCCTCTCCACGTCCAGGAAACGACCAATGCTGCTCTATAGAGCCGCTTGCCCGCCAACACAACCTTCTCCACTCCGCCTACTCTCCTCCCCGGGAAATCCACCCTCCTCGACTCTGCCTACTCTCCTCCCGACGAAACCCACAATACTCGACTCCGCCTGTTCCCTCCGGCGAAACCCATAGTCCTCTCCTTCCAGCGAAACCCACCCGCCCTGACTTCGGTTGCTATCCTCCTGGACAAACCACAATTCTCTCCTCTTGGCGAAACCACAATTGACAATTTTGCTTGCCGCCTTCTGCCCACAAATCAATTTCGAAGTACAAGATCTGCAGGCAACAAGTATAGTGGGCACAGGGTTAGGCGGTATGTGTAAATAGTGGCGGACCCAGAAATTTTACATAGGGGTGTCCACTTTAAAAAAAATAAATTAAATACAAATAATTCTAAAATAATTAATAAAAAATATTTAAATAAGAAATACTTTACTCATGCATTGAAAAAATTCACAATGTGTTTTCATATTAAAAAATGATTCCAGAACACACTTAGGGTCTACACTATTCAAAAAAAATTGTCTCTGTATATCATATTAGACAATCATTCACGAACTGATCACATATTCAATTTCTAAACTTGTTCTTGATGTAATCCAAAGCTGAAAAGACTCTTTCAATATTTGTTGTACAACCATAAATCAATACAAATTAAGGGTAGCTTGAAATTTGTTTAATTGTTAGATTTTAAAAATAATTAGAGATAGAGAATGACATTATGCTATTACACAGTGTTTAAAATCGAATAACATATGAGTTGTAGCCTAATGAAAATTATGTTTATTAATAATAAAGTGTCCTAGGTTTGAATTACCCAAACTACGACTTATATTCTCATACTCAAACTAAAAGATGAGAGTAGGATAATCACTTTTTTAAATTTAGGGGTGTCCCCGACTATCAATTATAATTTTTTTGTCAATACGTAAATTACTACCTCAATTGCATCTTCAAGAGATAGTTATACAATTATTTTTAGGTACCTCATGGGTTGATAGTTGATACACTTTGAAAAAAATAATATGTCATTAGGGCATTATAAGCAATCAGAAGTGCGGTTGTGGTTAGGGCATTCGTAGGTGTTAATAATCAATGTTGTGAGATCTCTAGATATAATGGTGTTTAGACAACTTAATGTTTCACCGTATTTTTCGCCCATTAATTGTATGAAAACTGTAGAGCTCAAGTTTCACATTTTGGATAGATCTCCTCTTCGATTACACCTGGTGGTGGTTGGAACCTAAATCAACCTTTGTTCCAAGAGAGTGAAAGTGAATTCATGATGTCTTATTGTGTCGGGTGATTTTAGCTTGCTTTGTAGCTATGAGGATAAAAACAAGCTCTACAACTAAGGGGTCGTTTGGAAGTTGCGATTATGCAAATTGATGTATTGAATCAATTGATGTATTGTCAATTGATGTATTGGATCAATTGATGTATTGGGCAAATACCATGTTTGGAAGTCATATTATGTTTTTGTTGTAAGAAAAAGAATAAAACACTTTTTATGTTGAATGGCATTAATACCCTCTGTTTTAGTTACAAAAACCCTTTCTCCAGTTCACCTGTTGTCTCCCAATATCAAAGCCAAACTGAGCGAGAAACTCCGGCAGCCAATATCAAATGAGCTCCACGCGACGATTCCGACAAACTCCCGGCGAGATTCTAGAAGAGATTTCTGTCATCTGTAAGTGTGGCTCTCCTGCAATTGTTAGAACGTCCCGTACGGCCAATAATCCAAACAGGAAGTTCTTCGGCTGTCCCAAATGGAGTCCAGGGCAGGTAATTTCTTCGACTTCTCATGTTGCTTGTGCGATTCATCTTTGTGGGAATTGCTTGAAATGGATAACAGGTGGTTTGAGTTGGGATGTTGGATGCTGGTTGTGTTATTACAAACAAATGTTTCATTCTGATGTGGGTTTTAGGGATTGCTCTGGTTTGCTTAACCAATAGAGACTTTAATTGTGCAGCCGCAGAAAGCATGTCGATTTTTTGTGTGCCATGATATACAGGTGGCAATTGAGAATGAGAAACAAAGGTATGAAGTTGTTATGTCCGATTTGAAGATGGAGATGGCACGCTTGAGGCAACAAAATGAGACACTCCAAGACCGCAACAATGAGCTCCAAGAAGAGGTTGCTGAACTACTGGTGGGAAGGTCACAACTGAGAAGTAGTTTTTGTACTGAAGAAGAATTGTCCCGGCCTAAAAGTGAGGAATTCCTTGAAATTGTAGAAAGGTTGAGTCTTCTAGAGACCATTGTGCTCGGATCCAATGATGCATAGTATAGTTGACTATCTGTAGAACTATTGTAGTGGTCAATGTAAGCTTGTCTACTAGTTGATGTAATTGCTTGGAAACAAACCAACAAGGATGTTTGTCCTGTTTGTAGTGGTCAATGTAATTAGTTTATAAAATGAGCAAGGATGTTTGTCCTGTTTATTCTCTGTTAAACCACACCATCAGACCACTTGTTCATCATAAACCAGTAACATCATTTATATTAAACCAGCAGAAACAAACCAACAACATCATTACATCACAAACCAGTAGATGCACCACAGACCAGCAACATTTAATAAGGAAAATCTACCTTGTCCTAAGGCCATTATAGATTGGCTAAAACTATGGAGTAAAACCTTAAATTTTCACATCAGGTTCTCCATTCATACAAAAGCTATCTTAACCATATGGTAACCTGGTTACAAGATAGTCCTACACTCATACTAACCATCTTCATATGCATCAGTTGATGAGGCGAAAGAGGAAGTGAACCTTCTCTTCATCCGTAGACAGTTGGAAGTACAATTGGGCGATCCCATCCTCCTTCATAAGAATCATGGCAGCTGATATCACTTGATCTTGTGACAAGCCTTCTAACTGTGACAACTCCTCAAACAAGGTTCCTCTCCTTATCATCAAAGGATCTTCATGGCAGAAGCTATTCGCCATCCTCTCAATGTTCATGGTAGCCTTCTCCATGAGAGGACACATTTTTTCTATTTCAGAAGCCACGACAACGCTGCTACTTTTTGAACTCCTATCAATCTTTGATCTTTTGTTGCTTCCGGTTGCATTTGTTGTCTTTGCACGAACAGGTTCTGGATCTTCCAGCAACTCCCTATGATTAATACCTTCATTTATCATCTCCTCCAGCACACGTTGACTTGTTTCGTCATCGTAGATGATGGGGTCCTCACTCCTACCCCTTCGAACAGGAGCCTCGAACTCCATATCAGCTGCAGACCTTGCTTGACCACCTACTGCCCTATCCTTGCCAAATACTCTAGCAAGCTGGTCATAGTATATAAAAGCTGTCTTGTTCAGGCCAGAAAAATGTTGATGGCTCTGCAAAATGACAAAGGTGAAAGGACAATGTTCAAAACCTAGATATACATAAGATAATAAATATGTAAGTGTAAGGAATAGGAGACTGATACCTTCACCCATTCCTTGAAAACATCATCATCAGCAACAATGATCTTCTTAGACTCATCCCAGCCAAAACACTACAACTCCCATTCTTGACATCATATATGGCATTGAACTTGTTCTTGAACCAACGGTGTCTTGATCTTACATCAGGTTAAAACCCGGAATCTTCTGTTGCAGCATAGCTTCAAGTTTCTTGAAACCTCCATTCTTCAAGTTCCCAGACTCCACTTCCTTTGAGTGAACCAGGTCTAGCATGCACTCGATGAAAAATGCATCATGTAGTTCCGTCCACGACTTATACTCCCTTAACCTGACTTGTGCAGCATCATTCATTCCCCCATCAGCACCTTCATCAGCTGCCATTCTTCTATTGTTAAATTACACCTGTAATAAGGTTTAAAAGAACAAAAGGAATGAAACAGCAAAAGTAAGGGTTGTGTAAGGAACAAAAGGGGAAGATCTCTGGCACATGTTTATAGAATTTGAAAGGGTTTTAAATAACAAAAGGAACGAACCAGCAAAAACTTCTGAAATCAGAACAGACTACTATATGGACACTGCAGACAGCAGAACCCCACTGGTTTATATTGAACTAATATTGAATACACCCAACAACCCAACAACAACCACTATTAATGACCATATCTATAGCATGTCCTTGTGAAATCTTTCTTCTGCTGTCATTAGACTTTATGCATCATAAAGGAGACCCCTCTTACACACTGTAAACACACCAGTTCTTTTATAAGTACAACAACCACACGTTTACATTCAATATATTAGTTCAATACATTCCCTTACGAGTACGGTATCTTTCTTGATTTTCTTTCGTTGCACGTACATTGACTATTGTCCCATCAAGTGCTCCAAGGCAATTCTAAAACGGAAAAAAATCAGCATCTATCAAAATGGAGCAAGGGACAGAACCATCATATGACAAAACACAAAAATCTGCAGTATATACCTTGAAGTGCTTCCATTTTGGATCATCTGAATTTTCAAGAACCGGCTTGGGTTTACGAAGTAAGATAGAGTGAAGTTTCAAAACCGAACGAAGAACACTCTTGATCACCCTACAAATCGTTTCTCCTGAACGACGAAAGGTAACTTGAAGTTGACGATTCTTCTCGTTATGGGCTATGGTGTAAAGAAAAATTGCAACCATTTCATCTATCTCAATGTTCCAAGTACACCTAAGGCCACCCTCATCTCTAAGAAGCTTACAAAGCTTCTGAAAAGTCCTACAGTTCATTCTAACAAGCATGGTGCAAGATATGTCGCCATGGGAAACGATACACCGCATAAAAGAGTTCCTAGCTAATTGTCTACCTATTGGTGTCTCCCAAGAACAAACATGCTCTAACATCTGCGCACCTTCAGCTTCTAACGCATCATAATATTGTACAAGGAGCTTGATGAAATTGAGCAAGAGCTCCAAGTACATGGACACTGCAGCAATGACAACCTTCTTCCTCTGCTTAGGGCACCTTGCCATGATCTGAAATTGAACAAGGAAAGAGGAAGAATTATAGATGAAATAACAGATGGGTACTAATTAAGATTGAGGGATGGCACTTTTCCCCTTCCTTTTCTCGTTCAGGTAAGCACCTAGCGTGAAATCCCTGCGGGTAAGCAATTTCAATTCTCTGTTCCTTTTCCCCTTCCTTTTCTCGTTCACCTTTCTCCAATTTTGATTGCAATTGATTTTAATCTCAGCATTACAGTGCTTTTCTTTGCGAAGGAGAGCGAGGCCTGCAATCTGGTAGCGACGAGGGACGACGTGTTCGAGCAGGTGACAATGTCGTTCGAGCAAGGACTGTGGTAGATGACGGGATGTAGAAGAGGCGGCCGGCTATGATACGATGGTGAGGAGAATGAGATTATGGGTTCGTCGGCCTATAGGAACCCTAAGGGAGACAAGCCGACAACTATTATCAAGAGCAGGAGAGTTTTTTTTGTTCTCTGGTTTCTCTATTCTCTGAAACTTGTCGAAGGTGGGGAGAGATATTGATGGAGAGGGCAATTCTGGAATTAACAAAAGTTATAAGGGACAAAGATGGAACAAAATTGTGGTACAGAATCCCTCATTCACAATCTTGGCTTTAGCTTGAGATTGATAATTACTCAATATGAGGGATTGTATGTGGGGCCATTAAAAACAAATACATGTATTCTAGCTGAATTTTAGGCAAAAAAACGACTTAATTGCCACAATACATGAATTGGTTAAATACATCAACTCAAAACTCAACCTCCAAACGACCCCTAAGTTAGATTCAACGTAAGAGCTTTAAATCCTTATAAAAGTTTAAGTACACTTCTCTCTCATACTTTTTGAGAACCTTTTGATTCATCATTAAGAATCATCTTGAAAGTACTGTATGACCATGTTTTAGCAGCTTTACTTCATTCTTCCTCCAAATTTATAATATGAGCCTTTTAGTGGTTTTTGGGTTTTAGTTTCCGCATTTTGCACTCATTATTTGTCGTTCATTTCTTTTTGGGTTTAATATTATGATGGATTTTGAATGGAAAGTTTGTATTTGAAATGATTGCTTGGTGAAATGATTTCTGATCCAGTTAACGGAAGAAGTTGCACTAATCACAGTACTGAAGGTGGTTCCTAGCACAATGGTTTAATAGACAGGGCTAGATGGGTTATGGTCGAACTACTTTTTTTTTTTTTTGTGTGTGGCCAAAGCGCTTCTTTGCCATATGGTATAAAAGGTGGAAGAGGGAATGCTGAACTTTTGAACCCTTTCTCTTTCATTAAACAAGCTTGGCAAAGCTTCTCTTCTCACTTTTGGTATCAAGTTCTGAGCAAGCATTAAAAACCCGTATCGGAGGTTGTATCAAAAACGTTAGTGGCAGGGTATTTTATGTTGAAACTAACAATGGTTCAATCGTTTCATACCGTTAAATACCACATATCGATTTCATTTCCAGTAGAAGGTTTTTCTGGTCGAACCGCCGATATGTTACGGTTTTTCAATCCTTGGTTCTGAGTCATATTTGTGAGACTAAATGGATGGTATGGTTTTGTTATTAGGTCATTGCCATATTATAGAATCACGTGTGGTGATATATGGTCTTTGCAATATACAGTTCCTTTTATTCTTTAAACTAAATTCATTAAGCCATTGGTATGTTGAGTTTAAGTTTCCTAATTATGTCTCAAATGGGAACGGGTTGTCCAATAACTAACACTAATATTGATCCTTTTGCTGGTTTTGTTTCTGGTAGAATATGGGAGTCAACGATTTCAACAATTTGCCGAAGTTTACTTTGGAGAATTCTTTCCGTTCCTATATTTTACTAGCTAGGATCGAAGAGTTTGCAGGAAAATAACTCTCTTTGAAATTGATGCCCTCTTTTTGATCAGTCATATATAATGCAACATATCTGTAATGTGTATGGTGATCAACAAGATGACTATTGGGGGAAATATTTCATGGATACTCTAAACTCTATTGAAAGAAGTCAAAGAATCAAACATTTTACTCTATATTGGCGGTTTGAATATGGCTCGCATGACACACCATTGTAAGTGCTTTCTTAATTTATTCATAGATAATTTTTCGAATAAAACAATTACAAGCTCTAACCGTCGATAATATTTATGAAAATTAACTACTCATTTCACACATATATCTCAAAGCTGGGTACTAAACTCCATCAAAAGATAGTCGTTAACTTTCAAGGTGAAAATTGATTAAATATATACAATTGGGAGCAACTCCAGTGTTCATATACATGAACTACTTAATTAAGAAACATTTTTTTTTTAAATCATTAAGCAACACTTACATTACAAACATGGATGAGAATATGAACAAAGCACACATTATACAGGTCAAAATTACATACAAAATGAATAATCATTAATCACCAAAACTCTACCGGCCAAAGGGCCGGGGCATGTGTTAGTTCTTGTTTAAGGGAGAAACGAAGAATAAAGAAAGAAGAGGAAAAGAAGAAAAGAGAAACGGTCAGGACAGAAAGAAAGAACCCCACCACACGTTATTTCTAAATAACATAAGGAAGGGTGGTATTTATTTGAGAATAACTCGGTTCCTGAATAACTCACCCATTTTTGTGGATCCAAACGAGTTCTTTGGGCTCAAATAACTCATGAAAACAATCCATCCAAACAACCCCTTAATATATTTTGACAAAAAAAAAATCATACCTTCGAGTTAAAAACAAAGGTGGTACCAGATGGTAACGAGAGGTATTAGATTTTTCTCGAAACATATTGAAAATAGATCTCATTTTGTAGATCACAACGAACTCTTTCCATCTGTGTAAAATTTTTAGAAAACCAAGTTAAAACGAAGAAGATAACAATCGATTAAGAAAACTAACGAAAATATCAATCCATTAAATTAACTAGCATGGCCCCGACCAGTTGGCCGGATAAATGTGAGGTATGAAATTTGATAAGCTAATGAGGTGTATATCTTACTGTTGTATAGTATTTTTTTGGGAAACACCAGTGTTCAAGAAGACGCTAGGCCCCATCTAGGCAAGGAGGCACCGCCCAGCGCACAGGACGATTTATCTTCGCCTGGGCGAGATTAAACGTCGATAAAATATGGTAGATATTTAAGTTTAGTGCATCATTCATTCGTGCAAAGTGAAAATTGAGTTAAACTTAATAAAAAAATTGCCTAATATTCACCCGCCAACTCTCTCCTTTCCCTCGACTTCATTGTTCTTCTTTCTCTCATAACCTTCTCTTGCTTCTTCCCAAGTCACCCTCTGCATCTATACTACCACCACGAAAACAACACTAAATTCCATTATATTCCCTAAATCTCATCTCTACCATCAATCGACTACCCATCACAAAACAAACAATGTCAACCCACATCAATTTGTCCAGATTCAGCCTATAAAATCAATTGAATCAATTCATCCCAAACCATTCTCACCTGGCCGCCGACCCGCTGTGCTTTGTGATGATGACCGACGAGAGATGACGAGGACGAACGGCGAGGACTAAGGCGAGAAAGGTGCTGGTCGATGGCGAGTCCGATGGCGCTGATCGATAGCGAGTCCGACGGCGTGGACGGCGGCGCTGGTCGCTTGCGTGGAGGACGGCGGTGGTCGCTCGTCGTGGCTGCTGGTCTCTCCTTTTTGCTAGTTATGTCGAATGAAATAAAAGGGCATATTAGGGTTACGGGTAATCAAAATAATGTAGAACCTCCCTCCTATTTACCTGTTTTGGGCTTGCCCAACTGATGGGTACGACGCTTCTGAGCGCCTAATCGCCGCCTAGGCGTTTTCCCTCTCGATTCCACGTTTTGTACGCCCAGTTCAGTCTCCCAGCTCTTTTCTCCACGTTTCCTCCATGCCCAGCAATTAATCGCGCCTAGGCGTGTCTTCTTGAACACTGGGATACGCGTGATAAAAATAGTGAATTTTAGGAGGAAAGAGACATGAATGATGCAACGAATAAAAAATCAGCCTTATGAACCAAAATCAAGTACCTGTTATCTTGTGAAACAACATTGTTTCTGTTAATATGATAAGGTGGAGTAAATTTTATAGAAACCGAATTCTAGAAAATCGAATAAAAAATCGCCTATCCCGCCGGTTTTCGGAAAATGAGCATCTCACAATCGTTGCTAGTTTTTACTCGCCCCGTTGGCCGATTAATTTGCTTTATAAAACTTTCATCTTGTCGTCATTGTGCTTTCTGGTTTTCGCAAGGCCATGATAAAATCTAAATAAATCAAGAACGAACAACACGATTTGGGATAGGAACCGCCGTTCCTGTATCCCTAGAAAATGGTGGTAAGAACGGACTCACCTGCCAAACTGGTTTGTATTGAGATTTTTATTGGGTATCGGGGAACCATGTGATTATAAAGTAGACTTTATCAAAACGGCCTAAAACTTGAAATTCAACATGTTTGACTGACCCATGCCAAACTCTAATTATTCTTTACTTTTAAACTTTCTATTTGAAATGATTCCCTAAAAAAATACACTATAATTTAATCATTATGATATCAAATAATTACAAAATATATATTTGAAATGATAAAAATTGGACTAATTGGATTGGTCGAGGTTGAACCATTGAATAACTTTGAAATACATTATATTTTAGTCACGAAGATATAAAATAATAGTTTAGTATATATTATGCTAAAGAAAATAGCTTGTTTTAGAATGACAAACCCATTATGTTTATTTGTTTTACTTGATGGTCAAATTCCGTATAGGTCAGGCCCATTCAACTCTTTTATTTTATGGTTAGCGGTTAGCCCATTAGAATCCATGTATTAGAATCCATATACTTAGTGTGATTGGTTATGATCCTTGTTTTTCTTTAAAGTGGTTATAGTTCGAATCCCAGTACATCTCTTTTTAATGAATAAAAGAAATAATTGTGAAGACCAAAATGTCCTTCCTACTTTCACTCTCGTTGCAGGAAATTTGAAATGGAGCAACAGTTTTCCCCTTTCTGTTATTATATATTGTAGA